AAATTGTGTTTTACTCATTACGATAAAAATAAGGTGGGGGTATTTGAGTGGTCTAACGCGCGCGCTTTAGATTATAAGGTATGACAAGTGGCGTGGTTTCAAAAACACTATTTCCTCCGAGATTACTACTGATTTTACCGCAGTTTCCCTTGTATAGGTGAACGCCCACGTTACTACCCAAACAGTGGCTGCAGCTCTGTGACCCTTAAGGTGGGGGTATTTGAGTGGTCTAACGCGCGCGCTTTAGATTATAAGGTATGACAAGTGGCGTGGTTTCAAAAACACTATTTCCTCCAAGATTACTACTGATTTTACCGCAGTTTCCCTTGTATAGGTGAACGCCCACGTTACTACCCAAACAGTGGCTGCAGCTCTGTGACCCTTAACTTATTCAAGTTAATGTGGGCTTAATATGCAACTTGAGTATTTCATTTCATCTTTCCAGGTGGTTAGAATGGTACTTGAAGATTTAAACAAAAAACTCTTTGGCCGATGAGAAGACCAGTCTGTAACAATCTTAGTATAGTTTGTGTTCAGTATTAAAATAATCAGCATTAGTTCGTTCATATTTGTACGTACTTAACATTGATCGGGTACGCCCAAAGCATTCAACACTCAATTTGCCTGTCTTACAGCCTATCATAGATATAGTTTGGTTTTATTTAGAATATTTGTGCGCGAAGCAATTCTAAAACAGAAAAAAATAGTACACAACGTTAAATAATCCCAGGTATTAAAGGATCTAAGTCTCTAACTCCATATCATCCAAAATCTTCGGCAATGAAAACACAAATTATTTGTCAATTTAAATCAACATTGATGTTGTGATATTACCGGGAAAAGATGGGCTTCTGATATCCAATATTTAAGACAAAATAAAAAAAATTACCATTGGTACACGAATCGTGTACCATAATGCGTTTCAGGCTTGAAGAACGAGGCTAGACGGTGACGCATAATTCTTACCTGCTATGTAGACTAGAATAACCAGACGCTAGAGATTTACTTTCGATTGAGACTTCAGGCGTATTTCGCCGAACATAACTGATTTGAAATTAGAGTAAAGACGGAAATGATTGAATGTAAATCAGTTTATATACATTCAGATTACATTATTATATGCGTTGTGACCCATTTGTGTTAATTTCTAGGTCCCAAATATTAGCGATTTAGCTCCTTTAAGAGAGCTTTTTAATAGCAAAATATTATGCCTTTATCACCCAAGTACACAAATACCACCGGTATGACTAAGAAATTCAGAACCACCAAAAATAGACCTTGGATTGGTTTTGGTCAGTGTTCCTTTCCTCTTTCCCGGCTCGTCGTGGATTGGATCTCAATGAATTTTTGCCTCCTTTCCTAAGAAATTTCTGAAATCGTTTCTAACAGATGTCAGTTACTCGTACAGAACGATTGTAGTTAATTCATCTTAGACAACATTTCATGCTGAATCGATAGTGTAAATGGTTAAGAATGAGAAAGGCTTTTGTTCAATATCTTATCTGCCAATCTGAATCTGTATAGATTCTATGTAGGTTAGGCAGTATTACTGATTCTTTTCCGTCCATTACTACAGCTTAAAAGACGTTTTAGATAAGCAATATTCTTACCAGAGAAAAAAAAATATAAGTTCTGGTTTTTTTAATACACAAGAACGCATCCAAATCGTTAAATCACACATAGATTTTCGTAAATGTCAATGTGTGCTATAACTCCAGATTACACCCCAAGGGAGTATTCCCAAGGCTGATCAGGGATATTTCAGTATTATTTAGCCCACACAACATACCCTAGGTTTCGCCCTGCTAACATTCAGGAATACTTATTACTTTGGGTCATACTTATCATTAAGCTACGGTGTTAACGCAAAATAGCTGAACCTTTTTAATTCTTAAACATTACAGCGATTAATGTCATTCAAGCGCTTCTCATTACTATGCTATTGTTCATTGCCTTGATGACATTTTGCTGCGACCTGTAATCAAAGGTTAAACAGTCTATGTAATGTTATGATTATATTCGATCATATAAAATGACTACTCAGGAAATAGCTGATGCTATTTAATTTGTTTGTTTCTTGTAATAAGACTTGTACCTACTGTCCTTTGGTTCATTATATTACATCAATAGTTATTTTTCCCTATTCATTTATTTTCTAATAAGTACCAAGTAATCAAAATCAATGCTGGGATTCTAGAGGAATGTTTTGCAAAATACCTAGACAAGTAGCAAACAGACCCTGCCCTGTACACAATGGTCGTCAATAACAACAGCAGGTAAATAGATCTTGTTAACCGTGCATTGACAATAAAGTAACACCTTTTGAGTTTCTTTTTTCCCGTTTGTTTCGATGTTACACGGGTAATATGTTTATGTGCCATCTTTACTCGTAGTGGTATGGGGAGGGGGGATCAAGATTATGTGTCTCAATTTAGCCCACTTGTAAAGCAATCTGATACAAAACAATCACTGTTATCCTTACAAACAAATATATGAGAAATATCCAATACATCAGAAACACACCCAAATAATTATTATAATTTTTAATAGATCTGGTATCTACGTTAAAGGAGGAGTACGATGAAATGAAATGAAATGGGGGTTTTAACGACCTACAGTTCTGTTCCGGTTGGGCTAATGAAGACGAGCATACGCCATACAGGGAAAATGTTTGCCCTTGCCCGGATAGCGGCTTTATGACCTACTCTTATATCGAATTCCAACTGTCTCGGTTGTTTTACGTGCACGCCAATGTGTACACGGAGACTCGTTTTTTTTTTGTACCATTCAAACCACTATGCACCACTCACATGGGGGTAACCACGCCAGAAAATCCATATGAACACGGGGATCGAACACGGGACCCCAGGTCTTACTCACTGTGCCACCCAGAAATACAAACACGAGGGTATCTAGAGAGTATGGATCTGTATTCTTTAATATTTAATTAAGAAAACAAAATCATAATACTAACACTAGATAATGTCCCGTTTTCTATTAAATCGGATTTAACACAGGCCTACCAATAAATTGTCGCGGACAACAAAATGGCGGTGGGCTTATTACATAGTGAAGCAGTATATATCGATGAAATTTCAATTCCATATATCTTTGTAAATACGGAACGGGATTGAACCATTTTTTGACAGATAGTCCGATTAGAAATCCATCTCTCACAATACCGTAGATTGCAAATGATTCCTATAGCGCTAAAATGGCGCATCTGGACTTTAATTAGACTAATTACATAAATAAACGAACCTAACCTAGGACGCTTGATCCATGCACATGATTTACTAGTTGTTTATTTCTTGCCATGTCTGTGTAGTTTGTCTTTCGGTTTTGTTTTGTATGTAGTGCGGTCCTCCTAAACTTACTATTAATTACATGTGTTGATATAACTAACTTTTTGTACAGCAAATAATTTGACAATAGCTATTAATGTTAATAGGTTTGCAGTTTTGTGTTCAGAAAGTCAAACCGAAGGACTAAATCAGTGAATGTGTATCTGTTTAGTTGTTAGCTGTATTGAACATCACTACCCTTCCAAGTGTTTCAACAGGACGTGTATCTTCACATGATCAATGATGCAATTAGACCCAATTTCTTTCAAATGTGAGAGAATATGGTTGTGATCACCATCCAATATGTTTTAAGTAATGGCTATACTGGGAATACCGTTCTCAAATTTGCTTAGCACTTCTAAAAGCGTGTTTTGCAAGGTATTATTTTGTAGGCCCATTATTTTAAAAAGAGGCGTTATCACTCTCACCAAGAAATTAAATACATTTTCTGCTTTGTAATATCTTGTTAAATTAACCATAGAATCTCTTAATTAACAAAAATCTACCTTCGTTACACTTTGGCAGTTAAGATTTGTCTCACACTTTGTATAAAAGCTACTTGGAACATCTCTAATAAAGATTTTTTTTCAACGAATACCTGGGTAATTGTATCTTTAGTTTGTTCGCGGAATTGGCCTCAAATTTGCAAATAAGTTATGTCGAACATGCACAAAATATCGTTTATTTGATTAAATAAGGAGTGTTATGACGATTGTCACCAATGTAACGTGTACTCTATACAGTCTTTAATACCAGAATAAGTGACTAATACGACTTCACGTACAACAATAGGACTAGGTGGTTTGGGACTAATATGTAGTAAACCATTAATTGTTATTTATCTTCTGTTCCCCGAGTTTTAACCCCCACTACCCAACACCTGGAACTGTTGGACAGTAACAGACTTCAGACCCGCAGCGTAACGCTAAGTAGCGTCCAATCCATTAAAACCAGATATCATTAATCAACCACGCCACATTAAACAATATTGATTATCTATGTCTATATTATAAAAAAAGATAGATATATAAATTGACAAAATCATATCTTCTTACAATAACACTAATCTTGTCCGGAATCAAATATAGGCCTATACGGACAATGATGCACATTTTAATTTTACAAGATATCATACTAGGACGCCTTTTAGATTTCGGCTTCAGATGTATTTCGCCGAACATAACTGATTTGAAATTAGAGTAAAAACGGAAACGATTGAATGTAAATAATCAGTTTATATACATTCATATTACATTATTATACGAGTTGCGACCCATTTGTGTCAATTTTTAGGTCCCAAATATTAGCTATTTTGTTCCTTTAATAATGAAATCTGCATGTAAAATAATTATTCCAATTGGAGTATCGACAACTACTTGAAAATGCGAGTCAACAACAATTGTACAAATTCGATATAGTGCTATATATTTAAGAATGCAATTCGAAAAAAAGATTAATTTTACAAAACAAAAATAAATCAATTATACCAGTTATTCCGCCAAGGATATGCAATTTCGCTTTAGCTGTAACAATAAATAGTTTCCCGTCAATTATATAATTTCGATCTCATTTCACCAATTCAATCCTAATTTTTAAATTGTGTAAACTTTCACATCATATGTAAGATATTTTAGTTTAGAAATAGCACACACCATAACTGTATACGTATGTGTGTATTATCCCAAAATCAGTATAAAAATTTCAACTAGTTTATGAAAACGAAAAATAAAACCCCAAAAATCAGAATTAGTTTAACAAAAGTCAGTACCGGTATCATAAGAACATTTCATCTGCAATCTTTACTGTTAATAGACTATGTATATCAATCACTGTAGTTGAAAATAATATACATCAATTCTCGTGAATAATCACCGATTTTTCTCCACTGGAAGCCCTTTGGGAGACTTCTTGGTCGCTATCTAGTAAGCTTGTTGACGCTGGCGCTACTGTTGGTATTCCCAATGAATTCTGTACTTTGACTTCTCTCATCTGTGCCAACACCTTTTCTTTTTTACAAACGTAATGTCTAAAGGTACCGAAGATAAAAAGATCCCAAAAGCCACGTGTGAAAGAGAATATGTGAAGGATTTTATAGGCACTGAGGTCCGTAAACTGATATAATCCCGTTCGATGGTCGATACAAAAGGCCGCGATTTCCGCAGGCAAGTGACAGCACACAAAGCACATAAATAAAGCAAACGCGAATACCAGAATTGATAACGATGGTTTATACAGTCTTCCTGGTTGATTAGCTGGGTTCTTGGTCAAGGCAAAAGCTATGAAAAGCGCTGCCGTGGCACACACAGGAAATAAAAAAATAATTAAGAAATCCAGCACTAGGAATATTGCGTATAAATCTAGGAATTTTTCAGCAACAAAGCACATGGCTAATTTTTGATTAGGCAGCTCACTAATCTCCACATAAGCTGTATCATAAATAACTACAGCCCATATATTATAAGCCGCAGCAAAAAACCAAGTCAAACTACAGAAAAATAAACATCTTCCTGGAGATAGCAGCCGAAATTTATGATTCAACACAGCAACTATTCGTTCCATAGTAAGTAAAAATATTGTATATGATATAGCCGTCTTTGCCACATTTGAAAAGTAGAAGAAACCTTTACAAACGTAAGGTGATAAATCCCCTAAAGTTTTTTGAAGGATGTCTAATGGCAGGGTAGCAATTCCTGATATCAGATCCCCAACTGCCACAGAGAAAACTAGTATATTAGTAGATTGTCCTAATAACTTTCTAGTAAAATATAACATAAGTAAAATAACATCCCCAATTATTATAATCACATCTATAACTATTTCCAATACCAAAAATATCCAATGTAAATGTATTCTATCAAAACTATCAATGACAATTTCCGAAGTATTGGTCATTAGATTCATTGTCAACATTATGTAAAGCGTGCCTCTCAAATTCCAGCCATTCCTAACACTGACTGTTTTCTAAACGCATGCAGTGTTTTTATATCTCTCTGATCGGTCGATGACGGAAACAGTTTATATGGTGTCCGCAAATCTGTCGAGCATTCACGTGTCAATAACTTGCCATCAGAAGTCTTGAGAGCCCTCCAGGTATAATGGAATTATTTGGCACAAAGTAGCAGCGAGTCGACTGGGCCAGGCCTTGACGAAGTGAAGTGCTGCGAGCGCTAGCTTGGTTTTCAACCGTATATAAGTGCGTTGTCTGACAAATTATATCTGTTTTTCAAACGCGGTAAATGCAAGATGTTTACGTTGGAAATATCCTTTATATAATTGCGTTTTTTTATGGGGGGTTTAAAACTTTGATGTACGTGTCAGATGATTCATATCTGTCATTTTTGTCTGGCAAACAAACACTTTATGATTTGATAAAAGCAAAACACACAACAGAATAGCACTTTTAATCACCTTGTCACGATGAATACACCTCTTTTAGCCATTAAGACAATTGTTTTTCTCTCTCTTTGATGCAACAGTCAATAACGAACGAATACAGATAATTCGATTTGAATGTTTTGCCGTTCAGTAGTTGGGTTAAAGTTAATTTTCCATGCACCGGAATTCATTTAATCCATGTGAATGAAACTTGGTTATATATTTTGTTAACATTTTGGTATGATAACGAAGCAGATATGGTGTGCATTACTCGTCAACAAGTCCACCATAGTATGGAACCAATCGATAACAAAAAGAGCACAAATTGCTCCAAGCGACGGGTGCCTTACATGTTACTTAGATCCACTGTCATTATTTTTTCCATCAAAGGAAAGAGTGCAGATGTAAAAGTATGTAAGCCATATTGGAAATCTGTGAATGTAGCTCTCCTACGATCAATACTTTCGTGAATAAACCTTTTTGTTAAAGTAGACGTTTTTAATAAAACGCACAGATTAATGGGTCCAAGACACTTACACGGTTTATTGCAGAGACATAAAGACGATTATTTCTGTCAAGTGACCGTCTGTGAGACAGGATATACAAATGATCAGTTCTTTGAAGTACGTTAAAATATTGAATTGCTTCATTTTCCTGGGGTAATATATTACAAAATCATACATCAAATTTTAAGATACCCTTAATTGAAAATTAAAAATACACGTATTGACAGTTATAATGAACTCGTTTTGCAAAGATCGGACAACAACATGCCTCAGAAAGAGTACTTAATACACATTGACAATGTATATAAATTTGTATTAAATAAACTTCCCAATATCTTTAAATGCAGTTATATGTATGATAACCACGGCTCTAAGTCTAGGATTTACCGACATATCGATAAAACGCTTCACAATAACATATCACAATATATGATTTGAAATACAGGTAGGCATTTCTATTTGAATTAGTGCATTTTATTAGTTTATTTCAGTATTTTTAAAATGTAATCGTTCAGTTATAAATGAACTGTTTACTAAGAGGATCCGATGGATCGCTTCGGGAGTCGGCTTTCTTGAGTAAGTCTGGCATTATGTCAGAAACATTATTCCTGGGAGAGATTTGATCCCATAATTATATACGCTAATAACTTTCTGGCAGTCAATGTGCCAACTCCAAAGAGCAAGTGACGTCTAGATAACATTCCAAGGGATTAATTAAATCTTGCCTTTATAATAATAAGCATAAATATCACTGAAATGAAAAATATAACCACAGCTCAAAGAAATATGAAATTTCATTTAGTTTTATATTTGATGACATCCCGTTATATGCATAAATCTTTACGCCAACTAATTATTCCTCCTCTATTTATGCCACAGAACCCTGTATTTAATTTAAAATACCGTTTTTCTGTTATACGCAGATTATAGCTCTATATTTTGTGTTTTCAGGTGTGTGTACAAGTACGTGCACGTTAAAGATCACTTGATGATTATGAAATATGTTGAGAAACTCACAAGGATAAGATGGGGTGAAAGTAATTGTATTGTATTAGGGATGCTATAAGAGGGATGAAGTTTATCTATGAGTATGTGGACGGACTGTGAGTTATCAAGCCTTGAAATTAATTGACAACAGATCTAGTTATCATATTACGCATATGATAATAGCAACGTTTACAAAGGTGCGTGTAGAATTAACAATGCTTATATTAATTTGGTGATAATATTAATTCCATCGATTACTACACTTACCACGATTTTGCGTTGATTTAGATTAGTTTTGGTTTTACCACATCAGTAATATTAGTAAAATGTATCTACTGCTGACATACAGTATATAATTAAAGAGCAACAGCAATCCAAAAGTACCTGTTCAAAACAAAACTCAAAATTACGAATCTAGAAATAGACTGGAAGCCGAACACGCAATTTGAGAGCAGAGGCTCGAGATTCGATCATCTAGATTCAAGAATATAAATGACCCGGAAGATAGGCGAGTCGAGCGATATTTACAAGTCGCAAAATCGCAATTACCATTAATACTTGGATGATGTATTATAAAAAAAGATTTTTGTTGCCTTAATTTGATATTACACGTGATCGTAATTATATCAGTTTCAAATCTATATAATGGGGTGAGATTAACATTAAGAAGAAATCGATTTTAATTTGAAATCATCCAGAGTTTTGCTAGAATAAATATTTTCTATGAAAGTTCTTACAAACCAGCGATTGATCGTTATTATATAAAGGAAGTTTTATTCAGAATAAAAAAAATAAACCCAGACATTGATCAGTACGGTAGCTGACAGTGTCATGTAAAATCTCCATTCATTTATAAATAAATAGTATTAGGCAGTGTAATATTGTGCCCGTTTCCAAATAGCTAGGGAGCCGCGGTGGCCGAGTAAGACGTGGCTGGCTTACCTGGATGTTTCGCGGTCGAGAAAGTTCATCGGGATTTCCTGGCAAGATTCCTCCTTGTCAGTGCATGGTGTAGGACAGAGGGCCCGAAAACCCGTGGTCCCGTGTACGAATTGGCGTGCTGGTAAAAGGGCCCTTTCGGGTCAATATGAGCTGCATATCGTTTTTCGAACCCTTTCAGGAGCGTATTTGAAAGATAAGCAAATAAGGTGAACCAGTTGCATCAAAGTTGGCAACTATGTACAGTGTTAAAAATAGGTGCAATTAAAAGCTATACGCAATGTTAAGAAGTAAAAACTTTACACCACAGCTGGTGTTCTTAAAATGTAACGCTTTTGCAAGGGTAACCCAACTAAAAACTAAAAGAGCTACACCTGACAAATAGTGTGACCCATATTCATGACTACTGAACACCTGAATAGGTGTAACTGTAGAGTGTTGACAAGGAACTGGTCGCTAATCGATATTCTTCTTGTTCTTCTTGGGGTGACGCTCTTCGAAAAAGTCTAAGGTTCCCTCAATTCAAGTCTGATCGACATAAAAATTGGCATGCTTCATCCTTGAACAATTCTGCATCGCGTTGGTGAATTATATTTTTGAATTTCATCCAACAGCAAGACACTGTCGTACATGTTAATCTAAAAGCCCTGTTTGGTTCCATTTGAATTTTATTAAGAAATAAAATGAAATTTGGTTTAACTACCTACTTTTCTGCACAGACTGAGCTAATCAAGACGGGCAAACGCTACTAAGTGTGCAATGAAGGTAATTTTGCTCGAACTGTGGCGCTACGACCTATTCTTATATCGAATCCGTTCTATCAAGGGTTCTTTTACGTGCTATAGGTCATACGGTCTGTCATTGAGTCAAATGGCACAGTGTCGATTCACCGCTTGTACGGTTACCTCTATGACTGGTTAATACCCCTACGCGTAAGTCCCGAAATCACCTAGTTTGTGTCGAGTGCCCGTTACCGCCACACCCCCCCCCCTCTCTCTCCCTCTCTTTGTGAAGCCCTTTGTTAGCTGTCTTTGTTAGGCCCTCCGTCCTGCATCACTGACAAGGAGAAACCACGCCGGAAATTCCGAGGAGGTTTCTCGACCAACCCTGGGTGTGAGACCAGGATCTTATTCACTGAGCCACCGCTCGATTTTTTGTTGGAAAATGTGTTAATCGTAATTAGAAACAGAAAATTCCAGTACGAATTCTGTAAGATTCTAAATATACAACTTAAGGAGGCATTATTCATGAGCTAAATTTGTCTATTGTGGGTCTTTCTTTATGCCTTAAATATTATATAAATTAGACATTTATTAAAGGGGCATGATGGGAGATTAGATAAAGAGCTGACAGTTCTCGCTACAATAGTTAAAAAATAGATAACGTTAAGAGAATGTTTAAAATATCAGTCATATTACTCCACTCTCAACCGAGATATTACCGATTGAATTTTAGGCCTAGCCTCGATCATCATAACTAATGTCGGTACGATAAAAACAAAGTATCGATTATCCATTTTGACGTTAATTCATCCATCACAAAATGTATTCAAATCCAGTAAATATCGTAGGCTAGCGATGACATCGAGAATTGATTATGGTCTGGATAAGTTAATTAATGTCTAATTAATAATTTAGATAACATTTCAGGCCTAAAGAAAGACTCGCAACAGGCAGATTTAGCTCTTGCATAATGTATGTTTAACTTAACAATACCATAATCAACTCTCGATGTCATCGGATACTCGAGATTTTCAACAGATCTGAATACGATTTACAGTTAATGATATAATTTAAAAATGGATAATTGAGACTTTGTTTATTATCTTAACGATAGCAATGACAGTCCAGTTAAGTAATTTGACTGAAATTTTCAACATATTACCTTTTCATTATCTGTTTTTTTTAACTATTATAGCTCTTTATCTACATTTTACATAATGCCCCTTTAATGTTACAATTACATTGAGGTTTAATCGCGTTTAGCGAATAAATCGTTTTGTTTCATTTTAAAAGTCCCTGTTAAATGTGGAAGTATGTTGTCCTCACTGCCGTACCGTACAACTTTTCTCGTGAACGCTCTACGTACTTCTTG